TTCCCTTGCGGAGCCATTATCCCAACTCTTGGTTGGTAGTCTTTGTTGTAGTGAGTTCGCCTTCATTCGGTGTTCCGGTGATTCTAACTTTTGGTTGGTAACCCTTTGCTTAATCCCAACTTTTGGTTGGTATAACTTTTGTTGACGATTCCAACTTTTGGTTGGTAGTCTTCCTTTCTGGTGATCCTAACTTTTGGTTAGTAGCATTTGCCCCAACTTTTGTTTGTTGTCATTTCTTGGATGTTATCTTAACTTTTGGTTGGTATTTTGTTGCTTTTCTTAGATGATATCCCAACTTTTGGTGGATAGTCCTCTATTTGTTTCCCCTGCGGAGCCGTTATCCCAACTTTTGGTTGGTAGTCTTTGTTGCGGTGAGTTCGCCTTTGTTCGGTGTTCTTGTGATCCTAAATTTTGGTTAGTAGCTTTTCATCCCAACTTTTGGTTGGTAATCTTTTATGACTATCCCAACTTTTGGTTGGTAGTCTTTATTGTTTGTGTATTTGCCTTTGGTCGGCGTCTGGGTGATCCTAACTTTTGGTTAGTAGCCTGTGCCTCACAACTTTTGATCATTGTTCTCTCTAGTGATCCTAACTTTTGGTTAGTAACCATTATTATCTCCTTGAGCAGTTACCATTTGCCATCCTAACTTTTGGTTGGTATCTGGTGTCCTTCGATTATCCCAGCTTTTGGTTGGTACCCGCTATTTTTAAGTCCACCTTCGGCTGTAAATCACTTTATACCATGTACATCCCCGCATGTTGCATATTTATGGATTCTTTTAGTATTCAATCACCTTTTACCTTGAATGTTTGAAATTGGTCGTTTTTTATCCTTTCAGATCCAAGTTGTTTGAATATGAGTAGTTGTAGCACCCCAAAATTTGCCCATCCCTTTTCTTATATTTTGGCTTATGTTTCATATCATTTTGCATTGGTATTAGTGCATAGCATTGGTTCTAGACAGAGGATCAAGGTATTTAGTACAACACTCAAAGGAAGAGCTTCATCTTCAAAAGCTCAATCAAGCGTTTATGCTCAACTTTGTGGAAATCTTAAGTCATAATGTTCCCTCATCATCAAGACAAGTCTCACAACCATTTGAGTCAAGGATTCAAATTTTGATCACCTCCTCCTATCTTGTGGATAGTTGGACTAGGGTTTTAGTTCAAAAGGCATCTATGGCTAGTTCCTTGGGCAAGACATGATTCTAAAGTTCAATACACATCTTGAGGGTCCTCTACATGGATTATGTGTCATCACAAGCCATCACAAGAGCTTCAATCAGTGGAAATGATCCTAGGATTTCATCTGGTCAACAAAAGTCAATTGTAGTTCAATGGGGTCGAAATCTTGGATCTCAAGATCAACCAAGGGTATATTATGTATTTTCAAGTGATTTCATGTGTTTGGAACAAGAAAATTCAAGAGGAAACATAAAATCAGGAGATTGGTTGAATTAGGATTTTAGTGAAAATTTTCTAAGTGTGGAAAACCCTAAATTCTAGCCACTTTGCAACTTCGATAACTTTCTCATCCTTGATCTAATGGAAGCAAACTTGTTAAAAAATTAAAGAGGACATCATGAACTACAAATTTATGGAAGGAAGCAAGTCCAAATGATCCATAGTTTGAGAGATATGGAGAGCTAAAATTGAGAAAATGAAGATTTTAACATTCCAACACTTAGAATTTTTTCTAAGTATGGAAATTCAACTTGAAGTACCCACTTTCAAGCCTATCTTACATGGTTATAAGAGCTTCAAATGAATTTTCCTCCAATATGAAATTTGTATAGAATTCTCCAAGCTTTATTTTGAGTACTAGAAATTCCCCCATTGGATGTGTAGAGCTCAAGTTATGATCTTTCCAAGTTAGAGTTTCAAAGTTGTCAAGTTGGACAGGTTCTAGGCAGATTTTTGGACCAATCTTCCAAGGCATTTTTCACCAAGATCTTGGATTCATCTTATCATTCTCCAAAAATAAAAGTTGTAGATTATTCTTCAAGCTTTCTATCCATTACAAGATCACTAGAATTAGATCAATAAAGCTCAAGTTATATGGCTTCAAAGATATGGTGTCAAAGTTGCCAAAAGTTCATAACTTAGAATATTTCTAAGTTACTTTGGGCAGGATTTTATGCTCAACTTTCATGGAATTTTTCATAATCTTCCAAGCCTTATCTCAACTTGCTTTCAACATGAGTTTTGTTCACCATTCTTCAAACTTTCCATTGAACTCAAGATTGCACAATTTGAATTAAAACTCATTAAGTTATGGTTGGATAAAGTGAGCCATGTGGATTAATGCTTATACATGTCATATTGTGGCATTTTTCATAAGTCATCTTGCAGCAACTCACTTGTCACCATTTCACACGCATACCTTTCTCTTTTTCTCACCAAAACATTACCAAACATAGTCAAACAACCTTTTGCTCATCTTGTACCATCTTTGTTCATTTTGGTCAAAAAGAGAAAGAAGACAAAAATGTAAAAACTTGCATAGCAAGAAGACACCACTCTCATTCTGATTTGCTCTCTCCTTTTCCACTCACAAGGACAACAATATAATCACCAAAGCCACCACTACCATTAGCTAGCTCGTGTCATTCATTCAACACTCCAAAATATCAAATTTTACAAAAAAAAACTTAACCTAGCATTTTAACCTCAGTAACTTACTTTAACCACACAAATACACCATATATAAGTGAAAAACCCTAATGAAAAGGGAAACCACCTTCATTTTGACAAGCTCAGAGCCCTAAAGCTCTCTCTCTTCGAAGCTCCTATTTCCTCCATTTTTCCTAAAGTTTTTGGATTGATTCATCATCACTGAAGTGTCAAAAAGCTATTCAAGGCATCTATGTGAAGTTTGCAAGCTAGGTCAAGAGCCAACGGAACCACTCCGTTTGGTAAACTTTCTCAATTTATTCCTTACATGTTAAGCATGTTTCAAGCTTGTTTTTGTTGGTTCTGAAGTCCTACATCATTGTATGCATTGTTCATGATGTTGTTGTGTTAGTTTGAGCTAGTTTCAGTTTGAATGTCAAACTTTCATTTATTCTTTTCATCATCTTTTAGTAGTGATAAATGATTTTTGAGGGTGGATTCGTGATCTATGTGAAATTCCCTTCAAAGTGATGTCCAACTTTTTTTTATTTTTGTTGAGATTTGCAGTGATCACCGGCGAGACTCACCGGGAAAGACGACCGGAGCTAGGGCTCCGGCGTCTGAGGTGTTTAGGTGATGTGGCCAGTTTGACTGGGGTTGAATGCTGAGGTGTGCTTATGCAGCGCTTGCGTGGGCTGGGTGACTATGCTGACGCATTAATGAAACAATGTGTTGCACCATTTTTGTTTGGTTCGGATGGTTAATGAACACGGGCCTTGCATTTTTTGCTTTTCACACTATCACTGTTTGGGCCCAACACGCGTTCAACATCATTCCAGCTCATATGGATATTGCTACTTCACCCCCTTCTTCTCTTTTTCTCTTTTTATTTTATTTTATTTTATTTTTATTTTCTTGTTTTGATTTATTTTAATTATTTCTAATCATGATAAAAATCCACAAAAAATATGTTTCTGGTCCTTTGACCTCTTGAGTTGATTTTCATAATTTTTATTTTATTTTTAAATTGATTTTTCTATTTTATTTATATTTATTTTGTGAAGTGATTTTACATAATTGTCCTTGGCTAGGGTTTATGCTCTTGATGCCTTATGCTTACCTATTTGATCCAATCTCTTGGCCTTGTTTTGATATGTCATTGGTGAATGTTTGGATGCTGATTTGGTGCTTTGATGTGGAATTTTTGGTTGATTTCTAGTTAATTTTATTTGGTCTTTGATGCATGCTTGATTCCTATGATATGCTTGCCTTGATGAGTTTATTTGATGATACATTTATGCAATTCCTTTTGAGATCTTTTGCACACTTGTTCTTGATGGATATAACATGATTTAGAGCCTCTTATTGGAATTTATTAGGTCCTTTTTCTATTTTTGATTTATGCCTAATTGTGACTTGGTTTTGGATTGTATATGCATGAGGTTTGACCTAGTTTGAATCCATTTTGCCTACTTGTGTTTAAGTGAAGCTTGAGATGATTTGTTGATGTGATAACATGCTGTCTTAACTTAGTTTGAGCTTTGGATTCACTTTCATTTGATCATTTTTCATTTTATGGTTGAATTTCCAAGTTGATGTTTTGACCTTGATTTTTTGGTGTCCTTGACCTAATCCTTTGAGTTGTTTTCTTACATGATCTAATGGATGCTTGTGGACTCTTGTATGCTTTGAATGACATGTTTGATTGTTTAATTTCCATGATGTGATATCCATTGTATGATCATTTCTCATCCCCTCTTTCACTTGATCTTCGGTTTTCTTTGAATGAGTGATTTGAGTGTTTCCTTGTGTACAATTTGAACATGTTCCTTCTTGAATTTGATTAATGTCTTGGAAATGAATATGATGTATATCATTTGTGTTTGGTTCTGATCTTGATGATATAGCGTGTCTTGCTTGACCATTTGTGTTTTGTGCCTTGCTTGAACATTTCCTTTTTCTTTAAGGATGACTTTGGTATATGTTTGCTTAGTCTTAATGCATACTTCGAGCTTGATCTTTGAGATTTCTTTTTGTGATTCATGTGTTAATGATGGATTGATGTATATGATTATGTTGCTGCCCTCACTTGGTTTCATACTCTAATCTCACTTGTTTAGTCCGTTGAAATGTGTTTTGCATGAGCTAGTTGTTGCTATATGTTTGGACATTGATGAGATGTATGCTTGACACTCTTGTGCATATTTCCGAGGATTCATTTACCGATTGTATTGTCAAATCATATCAGATACACTATAAAAGCTCTCGTACTATCAAGTGATTAATTAGAGAGGAAACCTGGGATTAACTGCTCTACTCCCCGCTTCTCTGTAGTCACATCGCAATCAATTAATCTAGTAATCCATTTACAGACGATTAAGCAAAAAAAATGTGCGCTTTCAGAGTGTTGACCAGGTTATCGAACACCACCTCCTACGTGAAAACTTCGAAACCCTATCAGCACCACACTCTCCGAACTCTTATTTTGGAGTCTTCTTCTTCTCAATTCGTCAAGCTTCACAAACTCTCTGACGAAGATTCTGGTAATTTCTTTCTATATTTTCTAGTTTGTTATCTAGTTGTTTCTTCGATTCTCAATCCAAAGTTATAGGAACTTTTTTTGATTTTTTTGTTTGTTTATAGGGATTGTTGAGATTAGGTTGGATAGGCCTGAAGCAAAAAATGCTATAGGGAAAGAGATGCTGCGTGGTTTGAGTAATGTGTTTGAATTGATTAACAAGAACTCTGATGCTAATGTGGCTATGATCCGCAGTTCAGTTCCTGGTGTATTTTGTGCAGGGGCTGATTTAAAGGTTAATTACATCTTTTTATTTTATTTAATCTTAGGCTTTGTTTGGATTGATGGAATCAAATGGAGAGGAGAGGTATGGGATGAAATGAAGTGGTATTCCATTGGTCAGATTATTTAAAATCGGATGGAGCGGAATAGGGTGGTATGGATTCTATTCAATTCCATTACTTACCATCATATTGCTCCCCCTCCAATTTGGACACAATGAAGAATTTGCATTGTTACGTCATAAAATTTCCAAACGATGGAATGGAATCTTCATTCCGCTATGCTCCATTCCGCCATATTCCACTCCATTCCATTCTGCTCCGTTTATTTTATGATATCCAAACATAGCCTAAAACACTGAGTGATATGCAATTCCATTCCACTATTTCTCATGATATGCAATTCAGAGCACTAATTCAAACTAACAGAGATTAAGTTTTACTTATATTTTAGAGCAGTGTCACTTGTGCGTTTTAAAGGTTTCATGTTTATCTGATCGCAGGAGCGCAGGGCCATGAATGAATCAGAGGTTAAGTTTTTTGTGAATTCTCTCCGTTCCACATTGTCATTTCTAGAGGTTAGTTTACATTATTCCATTATTTACATTCTAGATGTATACTTATCCACATCATATGATGACTGAATGACATATGAAGCATCATGCTATGCTTTAGAGGTCTTGCGTTTTTTTTCACAACTTGCTGTTTTTTTTGGGATGGAAGGGTGGTGATTTAGCTCATGAGCTGACCCAATTATACCTTTCCTACCTCCGTCTATAGTTTGTCTTAGCTAACTGTAAAATGTAATTTGATGATGGAAAATTTCTGAGTGGGCTCTACCATGCTCGTTTGATGTGGTTGTACCCATTTTTTCGACGTTATTTCTTGAAACTGCCACAATATATTTCTTTATTCAGGAAATTCGTGTACCAACTATTGCTGTTATTGAAGGAGTTGCTCTTGGTGGTGGACTTGAAATGGCTTTGGCATGTGATATTCGAATATGTGGTAGTCAACTATATTTACTTTCGCGAATTTGATCTATTTGTCTGTAGGATAGTTTAGATGATCCTCAGTAGAATGTAAGCACCAGTCTTTCTTTTTTAATAATTTCCTCTTTCATGGCATAGGAGCAAATGCTGTGATGGGTTTGCCAGAGACAGGACTTGCTATAATCCCAGGGTATGCAGTATACTAATTATCTTCACTGTGTTGCACCTTTGACACCATTTATTTCTGCCTTTTGCGTCTCTCTTCAGTTCTGCTACCAAATAATAAGTAGAGATAAAATTTCCAGATAAATCATGGAATAGATCAGGTCTCATGGAATCTTGTTGTGCACAGGGCAGGTGGAACACAGCGACTACCTAGATTGGTTGGAAAAGCAATAGCAAAGGATATTATTTTTACTGGTCGAAAGATTAATGGCTTCGAAGCGCTATCCATGGGTATTTTGCTTAGTTAATCTTCTGATTTCTTTCTTAAATTAATAGAGATTATCAAGCACAGAGATATATAAGGATCTTGAGAAGGGCTGTTTAACTCAAAACATTCAAGACATTCTGAAGTTTAAGTTTTTGTTTATCACACTTTCATTGTCTTGGAGTTCACTTGGCAACAATATGAATATCTTACTCATAGCCATCTCATGCTGAACTCCAGGAAAGCAAAGAGAAAAACCACCATAACAAAAACTATACTCTTGTCGCCAGAAAATTCTAAATACTTGCTGCCCCGTTTCACAAAAAAACTAGGCTACTTATCTTTTTTTTTTTACCCCACTAATATCAATGATACATAACTCCATTTCACAATAAAGTACTATTTCAATTATCTCTCAGCTTTCACAACTAATATCAATGATGCTTAGCTTCATGATCATATGTACACACAGGTCTTGTTAATTACTGTGTTGCTGCTGGTGAAGCTCATTCCAAAGCACTTGAAATTGCTCGGGATATCAATCAAAAGGTATCTCTCTCAAAGATATTACATGCTGCAACTGATGCAGTTTCTTATATGATATGCTGTTTAGAAATGTTGGGATCTGGCTTTTTGTGTAATTAAAGTCCATATATAAATAGCAGTGATTGATTTTTTTAAAATGTTTTTTCAAAGAAGTTGGTCGATTATGAAAAAAGAAAAAGACTTTACATACATCTCTTAAGTTATAAGGAATACATTGCTATTGCTAAACAATTTGCTAACCACAACCTCCATAATTGACACGCGCAATGTCCACTAGGATGGACAGCCGATCTGCTGTCTGATGAAGCGCCACCGCCATACGTCAAGCAACATGTCGCCACGAGACCATACATTTTATGGCACATGAACCCATGCGCCGCCTTCCTTCTGGGCCCCCACCACCGCCACCATCTGGTTCCCCTTTTATGGTTTGTATGGGACCCTTTCAGTGGTAAAACTAAACAAGATAACATTAAAAATGACAATATTATAGAGTGTTGGGGTAGCACCTATAGTAGAAAAGATGATGAAAATTAGGTTTAGGTGGTTAGGACATGTAAAGAGAAGACCTATAGATTATGTTGTAAGGAGAGTAGATCAAATGAATAGGAGCCAAACAACTAGAGGTAGAACAAAACCTAGAAATACTATAAGAATAAACTGTTAAGAAACATATCGAGATTAATGAATTGGATAGAAACATGATCTTTCATAGAACATTATGGCGGAATGTGATCCATGTAGTGGACCCCACTTAGTGGGATAAGGCTTGATTGTTGTTGGGATCAACATTGTTAGAAATGAGTTTTTACCTCAATTCGTTTTGCCTGGGTACAATTAACACACATAAACACGACTCGTAAAATCGTATGAGTTACCTAAAATTAAAATAGTATTAAAATTATTATGTGTATGATATATATAGTAACATAATATTAGAAAAATTTATCAAGGTTATTCAACAGCTTGACATGATTTGTAGTGAAGCAGATCAATTTGTACTTTTAGATGTTCATCTTTGAATAAAGTCATTTATCACGTGGTATAGGTAGATGATATTGTTATTACGGGTGACGATCATATAGATATTAAAGACCCAAAGCAACATTTATTCAACCACTTTCCTACCAAAAATTTAGGTAGATTGTCTTATTTTCTTAGAATTTAAGTAGTTCAGTTAGAGTTAACATTGCTATCTTTCAGAGAAAATATGATATGATCTGGATATCTTGGAAAAGACATGAATGCATGATTGTAAACCAATTGATACTCCTATGAAATGAACCCCATTGTGAAGCTTCTACATAATCAGGGGGAGCCATATCTTGATCCAAACAAACACAAAAGGTTAGTTGGGAAATTGAATTGCCTTACTATGACAAGACCAAATATTTCATTTGTTTAGTGTTGTGAGTCAATTTCTAAATGCACCTTGTGATAGCCATTGAAATGGTGAAATTTGGATCTTGAGATACATAAAGGGTTGCCTAAAAAATCTTATGGTTGAATTACTTGTTACAAGAGTTGAATTTTGTGAACTAGGTTCTTTGGAACTTATGTGTGATAATCAGTTAGCATTGTATTTTATGGTGCAATGGATCTAGGAAATTTGAATGTGCCAGTCAAAAGCATATTGTCTGAAATTACTTTTGATTAGAATATAATATATTTTGGAATAAATTTTGGTCCAACAACATTTTTATGTTTGTGAATGTTAGCCTAAATTGAATTCTTACAGAGTTGTTTTGAATAGATAGTACAAAGAGAAAATACAGGTATATGATTTCCAAAAGAAAAGATAAAGCATGGTTATTGTTATGATTGTATATGCTATCAGTTACAGACTTACAGTAAATTTTTACAGGGCCCTGTAGCAATAAAGATGGCTAAAAGAGCTATTAACGAGGGTGTGGAAACAGATCTAACATCGGCATTGGTCTTGGAAGAAGATTGCTATGATCAGGTGTTGAATACCAAAGATCGGCTGGAAGGCTTGGCTGCATTTGCTGAGAAGCGGAAACCGAGGTACACCGGTGAGTGAAAGGAATATTCTGTTGACTATCTCTGTTTATGTTGCTAGACAGCGATGTCTATCATTAGTGATTCAAGTGATTGATGTATTGAACCTGGAAGCAACTTAGATGTGAAACTGTCACTACTTTTGCCTCAATAATCATGTGATTTGAGACACTGTATTTATTCCCAATGAAGCAATAAATTTCACCTTTCTTTTTTCAATGAATTGGCCTTGTGCTTTTTCTCAATTTATTTGACTGTCGTAAAGATTTAAAATTTATCTCCTTTTTCTTTGGTGATTTCAAAAGTTTGTTTCGGATGTTTCCAAGCAATAGTTAATCGGAATCCGGTGACAGATTGGTCGGGTTCAGACACAATTCAGGGCCAGTTTGTTTTACCTTTAAAAAATAGATTTTTCTTATTTAAAAATAAATTCTACAAAAATGTTTTTTAAAATATTATAAATTTTTCTAAATTTATTTTTTATAAATTTAAAGACTAATTTTAACATACTATTCTAAATCAAAATATAGTAAAAATCATAGTTTTCCAAAAAGTGTATCCCAAAAATAATTTTTATGAAAAGCTATTTGAAATAGTTTTAAAATTAATTAATTTTTTGAAATTTTAATATTCAATTTTTTTTTGATAAAATGATGAAATACATAAAATAATATTTTAAAAATAATTATTCAAATAAAATTATCATCTGAAACTTTTATAAAAAAAAATTTTTTAAAATTTTTTTATACTAAAATAAAAATCATTTAAAAAAATATCAAAACAAACTGGCCCTCATGAACAAAATTTTCTAATGAACAAGAGGTGGAGAACATCCCAATGGAAGAATAGATCCCTACGATTTGGAATGTGAGCATGATTTGCTAGTCCATCCACCACAGCATATGCTCCATCATAAACCTGCTCTTTGGAACTCTAAGAGTGAATGTGCAACCTTAAATCCCGTTATTTTTTTAACCTTAATTTTGGATGCACTAAGATTCAGAATCGAGATGCATGTTTTTTTTTCATTTGATATAATTTTACTTTGAAAGTTGGAGACGAGTTTTAGAAGCACAATTTATAGTTATACCTAAGCAAAAATAAGGAAAATATGAAATATAAATTCAACAAAAGAAATGTTTCTAACGTAAATGTGAAAATTGAAAATCATATTATCCTTTAGTCACACGTTATAAATATCTCGGATTCATAATACAAAATAATGGAAAAATAGGAGATTTAAACTATCGAATTCAAGCTGAATGACTGAAATAGATAAGAGCTTTAGGATTTTATGTGACGCAAGGGTACCACTAAATCTGAAGGGAACGTCTTATCGAATTACGCTAAGATCTACGATATTGTATGAGACAAAATGGATGGTTAAGAATCAAAATAAAATAAAATAAGTACAGTAAAGATGAAGATGTTGCGGACGTGTGGTAAGACTAAACAAAATATAATTAAAAATGAAAATATTAGAGAATGTTGGAGTAATACCTATAATAGAAAAGATGGTAAAAAATATACTTAAGTGATTTGAGTATGTAGAGAGAAAATCTGTAAATTAGATGGTAAGAAGAATATATCAGATGGAGAGAAGTTAAACAACTAAAAGAATATGAAAACTTAAAAAACTTTAAAAAGAAAAAGTTATTAAGAAAGATTTCAAGATTAACCATTTGAATAGAAATATGATTTTGGATAAAACAACGAAAATTAATCCATATAGCCGATCTGCTTAGTTGAAAAAGACTTGGTTGTTATTATTCTTTGATTATCAATTATTTGGTTTCTCTAAATTAAAATTGATTATGCATCTAAAATTGATTTAAATCAATTTTGAAGTTAGGGTTTTTAATTTTTAAGTTAATTTTATATTAAAATTTATTGTTAAATATATTTTTGCATAACTATATTTGATTATAAATTATTTTATTTCTAATTCACTTCTAATCAAAATTAATTTACTTAGAATCAATTTTCATCACTCAAGAAATAAAAAAAAACACAGCTCTAAAAATTCATCTTACACTGGGACGAAATATATGATTTACCAATGTAATCCAAATGTACTACAGTTTTTTTCCGAATTAATTTCTAACAAGTTATGTATTCTTGTTTATGTAGTCGCGGGTCTAGCTTAATCAATCGCTCGATAACTATTTTATTCATAGAAATTTTTAATAATCAAAATTAGTCATTATTTTATTCATAGAAATTTTTAATAACCAAAATTATTTTATTCAAGCACTCTCTTTGTATGTCTTAGATTTGAAACGTAAGAATACATAGAATAATTCAACCTTATACCAAATTTGTGCAAGACCAATGAAAACTTGATTTTGTAGCGAAGAGTGTTTGAAATTTGTTCAAGAGGATATTTGGTTTGTAATGTGATTTCTGAATTTCTGAATGAGGTATTTATAGGTCATGTATGTGTTGTTTCACAAGGTTGTCACCCTTGATGAAACAACACTTTTTAACCAAAAGTTGTATTGTTTCCAAACATTGTCTATGTTAATATCACAATAACACTTTACGAAGTGTTGCTTCTCTTCGAATTCAAAATTCAAATGCATGCATCGACCAAAACGAGAGTAATAATGAGCTCGGCTGAAGGTCGCCCGCCGTCCACCGGAGTGTCGCCTCATAACGTTGTGAATAACCCGATTGCTCCGATGCGTCATACTTAAATGCTCAAGTGCCGCCTACAAGCCGCCACTAACGCCTCTATGCCCACGCCCTCGGATCCTGTCCCAGAGACGGAGCTGACACTAGCGAGGGGTTGTATGGAGGAGACAAGTGGCATAATACTTGGGACCACTACACTTGTCCATATGACATTTTATCCTCTTTGTCCTTTTGTTGAATTAATGCTCATAACTTTTTATAAAGGCTTTTAGGTAGAAATTACATGGGATTAGTGGGAAAAGAATTAGATTAAAATTTTGTAAATTGTGATTAGGATATTCTATTAGTTATTTTCTTATAAATTTAGTTATATATATCTTTAAAGAGTGAAAATTGAATCATTAGAAACTAGACAAAATTTAGCACGAGATAGGCTTTGATTTGGATCTTTTTAATTGCGGTAAAGCTGAAAAAATTGAAGCTCAGCTACTGTTTTGAAATTCTACAACACAATTATTTTACATATTGTTAGTAATTCTATTATAATCCACTCTACACAAGTCCTTTAAGAGTGAAACTTATATAATAAGAAAGTCGACAAAATTTCATACACGTTAAACTTTTCAAGTGTCCCATTTCATTCAGTAGAGTAGGATATATACGAGTTATAATTTGGACAAAATATTCTGCTCTATTTTTGTACTAGTCCATATTAATTTATTAAACTAAACTGATTGGGACCTTAAGTCCTAAAATAAAATTAATAGCCTTAAAATAGACATTATAAGATTTCCAAAAAAATATTCATTCACTTGAATCCGATTCCGTCTAATATTTTAAACAATTAGTTAAATTTGAGGTATGGTTGGTAGAAAATATGATTTTGAGATTGTTTTGATAAGAATGACTTTTCTTACTCTAATGTGAAAAGTACTTATATAGTACTTTTGGAATCTGTAATGTTTGCACTGCAAACTATTTCTTCGCCCAGCGAACACACTTTTCGGCACCTGAAGTGCATATGAACAGTTAAACCGCCTTTGAAAAATATTTGAAGTTTGATGTGCAAGCAATTCTTCGTCCTGCAAACTACCTCGCTACAAGTTCGCACAGCGAACTTATGGTCCTTTAGCTACTGCCTCAAATCTGAGATGGTTCACTAGTCCTTCGCTGAGACCTCTCCACAACGAACATTCACTACCAGTTCACCCAGCGAACTTAGTGCCCTTTTCTTACTGCCTCTAAATTGAGAGGGTTCGCTGAAGCTTCGCCATGAGTTCGCCTAGCGAACATTCGCTGCTACTCCTCGCTGGATGTTCGCACGACGAACATGCTGAATCTCTTCTTTTTCTTTGGCCTCCTTTTCCAATTACTTGTGTCTTACACTTTGATGTTTTTATGCCTAATTTATGCATAGTAACACACAAATCAAAGCAACCAAAAGTATTTTCAACAATATTGAAGAGTAGCATGATATCATGGAGTAAATCCAACAAAACATAACAAAAGAGTTAAAAAATGTCAATAAATAAGGATAAATTTAAAGCAAGTTGGAATTCAACAGATTATGAGAAGGAAAGTCATATTTGGAAGTATTTATAGCAAAAGTAACCTTAAGCTACAAAGCCTTATCTAACTTGGCTTTAAGGGTCCTTGACTCTTTTTGCTAAACGTGATAGGTTTCACAACCAAACCATGAAGGTTTAGTAACCTCATGTTGATCTTTTAGAATATCTAGCATAAACTTCCTTAGAGCTTCCATATTCTTTTCATTTTCTAAAATATTAGCTTCTAAGTGAGAAATGATTATTTTGTTTAAAACTAATCTTTTGAAAGCATCTATGGCTTGTCTTTGTAGATTTACAAAAGATTCTTGTAATTGAGAGAAAGCTAAGTCATGATAAGTTTGAAGTTTAGAGTGGCTTACAACCTTTTTCTTTCCTTTGTTTTCCATATAGAAAAACTTTGTCGATTAACCACTAGAGGTAGAGCTATCATCACTTGAAGAGTCACTTTTGCTCTTCCAAACTGCATAAGCTCTTCTAGACTTTCTAGATCTCTTGTCATGACCTTTTTCTTTGTCTTTCTTGATTGTAAGACACTCTAGCTTAAAATGACCTAATTTTCCATAATTGTAGCATGTACTTTTAGATTTTCCCTTTTTATTATCATCTTCTTTTGAGGAGTAAAATAGCCTTCTAGATTTTCCATGGTTCTTGTCGGAGTATTTGTCTCTATGTTTCCACATGTATTTAGTGAACCTCTTTATAAACAGCCTCATATCTTCTTCATCAAAATCATTGTCATCTTTAGTTTCACAATCACTTTGATCATAATGTGAGGTCTTTGAGCTAGAAGTCTTTAGAGCTATGGACTTCTTGCCTTCTT